TATCGGCAGAAAAAAATTCATTGCTGGACCCTGATAACGAAAAAGGGGATAAATCCAGTTGCTAAATTAAGAAAAAATACTCTAACATGTGGTTTAGCCAAAATTCCTGTTTTGGGGGTCCTTGAAACGGAAAAATCGACAAAACGCACGTCGGTCCGTCCGTCGGTTCATGAATATTAACAAAGCATTCCTTCGGCCAAACATGCTTCACGTAACTCAGGGGTTGGGCTTCTAATTCATTTTTCTCGGAGAAGGATGGCAGGCGCAATTACGCGGGTACCCCACGCAATGTCACTGTCTTATCCATGTTTTTCAACTGTACTCTCTACTTTCTACTGTGCGATTGACAAGAATTATTCATGAAAATGAAAAATCTATTGTCAAAACTTCTGTACATATTTGAACAGATTGAATAGATATTCATTTAGAATTTCATTCGTATGGTAAATTATATTACTATTAGTAATGTTGAACAACCCTCTAACGAAAAATTTTAAAATGAAAGCTTCCATAGTCTACTAATACATTTAAATGAAACATTACCGAGCACCTACCCACAGTGCATGTTCTCCAGGCTTGTTTGACGCTGACAGGGTGACGAACACGTTCCTGTTCTACGGGCTGTCGCTGTTCTCGGTGTCGTTTCGCGGCCACAAGCACCGCAACTTCATCCTGGCGGCGATCGTGGAGATGCCGGCGTACATCTGCATGATGTTCATCGCCGAGCGCCTGGGCCGGCGGCGGTGCCTCGCCACCGGGCTCGTCCTGGCCAGCCTCGGCTGCTTCGGACTCATGCTGCCCTTGCGTGAGTGGCGCTCTACCGGCGCTTTTTAGCGTCATCTCTTATAGGAAAAAGGGATGTTTTCACTTTAGTGAAGACGCTATTAACCCATTTTTGAACCTCTAACACAAATAAGGGATGTTTGCACTTCAGCTATTAACTCATTTTTGAACCAATGAAAACAGACGAATGCCCACGTTATGCTAAAGTTATAACGGAAACGTTATTCTATCATACGTTTACACTTGCTTGCTTCTAATGTTCACGTTGAACGCAAAATCCCATTAGACACTAGGTGCAGATGTTACTCTACTTCCAATGTGGCCACATCATGTTGATAACGTTTGCACTTTAGCTATTAACACGTTTTCGAACCTCTGAAAACAGGTGAATGCCCACGTTATGCTAAAGTGTTAACGGAAAACGTTATTTTGTCATAAGTATACCCTTGCTTGCTTCCAATGTTCACGTTGGGCGCAAAATTCCATTACACACTAGGTACAGAATTATCTACATCTGACTCTTCTTCCAATGTGGCCACATCATGTCAATGTCATTTATCGGTTTAATTCATTGTATGTATAATAGTAATATTTATTAAGTAATCTACAAATAATTATATACATATATATGCACATCAGTGTTGGTGGGCAGCTGTAAATAAACGAAGGCAAATCAAGGGGATGTTTTTGAAGAATTAAGAGCAGTTATCCCTATATTAAGTTCGCCGATAATGGGAATACAACGTGCCCTCTGCCGCCGCAGTTTTTAATTTCTTTCATCTAAATCGAAACTTTGAGCAAAAATTCTTATTACACTTCATAATGACGTATAACGGCTACGTAATATCGTTTTACGACTCGCTATCGAAAAACTCCAATGAACCGCCACACTACTGACTTGTGCTAAGCTAAAGGCAGGCAATGCTTTTTCGAGGAGGTCTTCACACTATTCGCTCTCACGTTGTCCTTTTCTACGAGCCGGTAGTAATCGTTTATTTATTTTATGTCGCATCAACTACAAGGTTGATAGTAATGATTCGCTCAAGCTGTGGCACAATCATCTGCGTACCAAGAAGCTGACTCTGGAAAGATAGTAGGAGATGACTCATGAAATTTGGAAAGACGGCATCCGAAGAAAGGGAGGGTAGACGAAGTGTTACCGGTATTAAAGAAGACGAAAGTAGTTGCCTTTTCTCCGAATCAGGTTTAAATTGCTTGTGAAGTACTAATCTAATATAAATGAAGAAACCAAGTTCTTTTCCAGCAGAAGTTTATTACAGATGAATATACAAACAGGTTTGGCCCATACTATACACAACATGTAAACTGACAACTAAGCCCTTACAGACAGTATTTATAAGTTCACAGATACATAAAGAGAACAATAAACACCATTTTTTATACACTTAATTCTCACGTTTTCTCGAAATTTTATCACAGTTATCTATTACCCAATTTCGCCCGCTTCAACCT